TTTCCCTGCAAGGGCATAAGGCACCTGGCAAGCATTCAGGAGCTGGGTATATCTGAAATTTGCCTTACCAACAAGGAACCCAAGACACCTACCACTGTGTGGATTTCCCCAGGACCACAGAGCCAGAAAACACCAAAGACTGGAATAACAAAGGAAAAAAACCCCACTCATATATGTGCCCACCCACCCTTCACACTGGTCTAACAAGGCTTTTTGTGCCTATTTTGTTGGAATCTCCTTTTTCTGCCTTCACTGACTATAGATGGGGCCATGGAAGTTCGTCATCCTTAACTCGGGCGTGATTGACCTGGGCCACACAGACAAGGCAGATGAAAGGTCAAAGAAAGATTACACTGGAAGGGAGGGACAGACACCAGCTGACTGCCTATCGCTTATTAAGTCTGTAGCTGAGACAGCCCAGATATAAGCCCAGGTGCTGTAGGCCAGCAGCCTGAGATGTTACACCAGGTTGTGGCCAATGCCTGACATACTATAGACAGGACAGATTCTTTTTTTTTTTAAATACACCTGAAAATAAATTTTTCTTTCTCAGTCGTGTAAGGGCCCAAATAACCTGCCTTTCTGGGAACAGGGGAACCCGGGTTCTTTCCCATCCCCACAGCTGAGCAGGAGCCAAGCGCTGACACCTCTCTTCCCGAAGCAGATGAGGAACAAGACGCTTTGCAGATCCATATAACAGGATCTTCATGTCCTCGTCCCGCAGTTTCCCCAAATGGTTAAATAGGGATAATTCATCAGGAGTTCATTAGCCAGCTTTCAGCTTTCTGATGACAGAGAAGTGTCAGACATTCCTCCAAATAACGGTAGCAATTCCTACTATTGTCAGTATAAATGAATCGACAGCACAGCCTCAAGACATGAGTTTTAGCTACTGATTCTCACCAAGGTTTCTTGCATCTTTTTAGCACAGAGGTGGAATACGATGCTGCTTTGGAAGCAAGCAGCACAGATCGCAGGCTCTGATCAAAATGAGCAACAGTAACGCCACCACGCAACTTCTCAAAGAGCAACTTGCTTTCCAGTTAGAAGAGCAGTGATGCCGTGAACCTTTTTAAGGATGCCCCGCTGAGGTTTCACGAACGCCTATCAGAAATTTCTCTAAAGAGGAGTGAAGTCTTGCCAGCTCAGCCCTGACCGTAAGTAATGAGGTAACACAGTACAGGATCTGCATCCCGGGCTGGAGCACCTCGCACGTTAAGCTCCGATACAGCGCTTCATTCTCCCTCCAGGAACGCCTAGAACTGCAGGACTGTAATTTCCTTGACGTTTCCTGACATATTTACAACACTGGCCAATTTCTCAGCTCCCCTAGTACGTGGCTTATGTAACAGCACGATGGGCTGGGCAGCAGCCTCCAGGACTATATCGTCAGCTAAAATGTCCCGTTCAGTGTGCACGTAGCGTGAGTGAGTATCTGCTGTCCTGCTGCCACCCGGCAGCAAGCAGCCCGAGCTGGCACGTCCCCACCGGCCCAACAGCTCTGCAGGGCAAGGCAGCTGAAGCTGCGTGGGCTTTTCATCCCTTGCAAGTGCATCTCGGTGCCACAGCAAAGAGCCCAGGCATTTGCTCTCCTCTACTTCTTTTGTGCAATGCACAACTAAGGCCTCTTTTTACTTCTCCGGGCTCTCTTACCTCTTCCAATCTTCTGGTCATCCATGACCTGATAAGGATGAGTGGGTTTCAGTCATTCTGAAGAGCAAAAGAAGGTGGGGAGTAGGTGAGGGACATCGTGCCTACATAACATGATTAAGGGTGGATGTGCAAAGGTGTTGGGATTCAAAAGTACTGGGGGTTAGCCGACCATACGCTTCACTTCAAAGTCTCCCTTCTCTATATCTCACGAAGGAAATGGAGGGCCACGGAGTAATCTTTGACACGTAACTAGAACAGTATCGACGCACAAAAGTTTTCTGGAGTGGTGCCTGCTCCCTGACTTTTTCTGCTACTCCTCCCCCTGTCCCACCCTCTATGACCCCAAACCAGCTCCAAAACTCCCAAACAAAAAAGCCAAACCAACTCACGTGTTCAAGGAAACATGGTCCAATTTCACTGAGATGGGGGTCCTCGTTGTTGTATTGTTTCTCCAGGTCCCGGACAAAACCCATCTGAAATCTGTAGATATCTTCGATGTTACCAAAGATGATTTTTAGCTGTTCATCACTGAACATATCCCTCCTCTTCCGGCACTGCTTTAAGTAACCCTGTAAGGAGTAAGAGAGAACAATCCATCGAATAAGCCAAACACTTACACTGAGGCTGCTCCCAGATTATTCTTGAAGAAGGAGCAAGTAAAAACAAAAAACAGAAAGTGTCTCTAGAAACAAAATCCACTTGTTCTGAGATGACAGTCTCCATCAACTCCTGGCTACAGGTAAGCACGCAGTATGCAAAACATGCCTCGAAACGCTACGAGTCCTGCTGTTGATAGACAACATCTCAGCTGCAACTGTTGCTCCCACTGCAACCAACAGCCGACCCCCAGCACTCCTCCCGCTCGGGACTCGCCAGACGCAGTGTGCGCAGGGCTTCACAGCCTGCGTCAGGAGATGCTGGAGACGGCGCGTGCACAGCGCGCTGGGAGGACGGTGCCGGGTTCGGCCTCGATGTCCTGCAGCATTTTGCGTGAATCAGTCTTGCCAAGGGAAGGTTCCCCACAGATCTCAGCCAGCATAGCCCGGAACGGCTCTGTCCCTACCTGTGCTGCAGAGAACAGCAAAGTCTGGCCGACAGCTCCAAAGAGGTGCGTTGCAGTACTGCGCGCCTGTCCCTTCAGCCGTCGCTGCCTCGCAATACCCAACATCCAGAGTCGCTCCTACAAACACTGCTGTTTCCATGTCCTCTTCAGTGGCACGTGGCATCACAGTGAAAACTGCGAGAGGCTGTTTGATCATCTGCCCACTCCGATTTCTCCTTTTAGCCACAGTAATCAGGACAAGGAAGGTGATAACCACGCTGAGAAATACTCTGTTAACGTGTGGCTGCATGCCCTTGGTTGAGCAGAGGGTATGGAGGGTGCAGCCACCCTAGCTGTTGCAGCACCAAGTGAGATATTGAAGGATGACACTCTTCAAGCATTTCCTGACTTGGGAGGCAACACGGTTTATCCCCCCCCATTACTCATCTTCCCAAGTCTGAGACCAAAGCGGGAGGGCTGCTGTCCTGCGAGTGCCACGGCAGGGAACCCCGAAGGTGACGCAGCAGGCTGGGTAGACCTTTTGGCTTGCCCCAGCAAGGGAGCCACAGTGGGAGCTGCCTGAGCTGCAGGTCAATGCCATCCAGAGGAAAGCAGCACTGTTCTAATTTTGCTTTCTATACCTCCCATTCCATTAGCACAAATACGCTATTCCAAACAAGGGAGAATATTTTTCCTGTTTCCTCAACCACCATCTTTCATTGCTTTTCTTCCTTTTTTTAAGTGGGACCAGAGGAAAAGACTTTGTACCCTTCTCCGTACAAACCTCAGGCTCCCTTACCGAGTCTACAGACATTAAAGTCAAATTGACAAAGAAAGAGGAAGAACTAGGATGTAGAGAGTTTAAGGAAATACTCCAAAAACACGGAATGAATCTGCAGCAGATTTGGAAACAACTTCAGACCTCCTGTGTCTCAGTCCAGTGCAATAATAAAAAGATCCTTCTTGCTTATTCTTCATCTGCCCATGATACCCACTGGTACTGAGCCTGAGCTTTGCAGGACATCATACAAACACAAACCGGAGGGCAAGCACTGCTCTGCAGACGACCTGACCTAAAAAGACTGTGGATCACCATTCTGGCAAACAGCGTAACACACCAAGATCTGCCTGCCTCCCTGTTTTGCTGCCCCTGCCTTAGCCGTGTGCTCGCCATCCTGGTTTCAGCTGAGTCACGAGGACTTCTTCAAACACGCTCGCCTGAAGCACGCGTGGTCCAGGGGACGGGCTGACACACGGACGCTCTGGATGCCCGGGCTGAATTTCTGGCTCTGCCACTGACCTGTGTGACAGTGAGCAAATCCCTTCATCCCCCTGCGCCTCGCTTGTCTGGACAACTCAGACCAGAAACTTTGCAAGGCCAAAGAGCAGATGCTACGCTGGCCTGGTCCGGACTGCAGCCTCCTAACTGAGAAGTAACATGGGGGTCATCACGGAGTGACTTTGCCTGCCTTCATCGTATAGGAAGAGGAAAAAAAAGGCAGGGAAAACATGCCAACAGCTCCAGCTGAATGGCTATATTTGGGGACCGTAGATGCTTAGTCACGCAGACGACCCACCAGCTGGTGACACCCAGCTGCCGGTCCACAATGCGAACGATTGGAACGCCGTAATGAACCGTCCTTCAGCCTCACCACGTGGTTCCTGGGAGGGAGAACTTCAAACAGACGCACGATAAACGCAACTTTGGCCAGCCTGTCAACGAACCAACCTCTGCGATGGCCAGCTTGGCTAGAGGGATGCCCTCACCCTGAATTCGAAAGATTTTTAAGCTGGGACACTTGGATTACGGAATACCTTCTGCATTTACTAAATCTAGGTCTCTTCTTCCAGGAGCACCTCGATGACTCATTTCCCTGGGTTTCCCTCTCTCATTTTTCAAGGCCAGGAGGAATGGGAGCAGGCTGGTTCCCACGTTGCAGGACAGTTGCAGGGCAAATAAAAATTCAAACTCGCACAGAATAACACAGAATCTCTCTCCGTGCTGCTTTTCATGTTTACCTGCTTACCTCAGAACAGCTTTCAGAAAAAAGAAGAAAAAAGAAGCAAAAAGACACGCCCCTGCCCACGAGGCCAGGCTCTCTCTGACACTGGCTTTGGTGCTGGCAGCGCCC